GCAAAACAACATTTTTGGAGCGGTTCCAGTATTTCTATATAAGCTCAGAAAGCCCAGGAGAAGCCCTTTAGAGATAAGGAAGGGAGGCTGGATCTCTTCTCTTGTCCTGATTGTTTTCCTTCTCTTTCTCCATCGCTTTCTTCACTTTTTTTCTCTTCCTGTTCTCTCCTCACCCGTGTTTGCATCTTTTCCCATCCTTGCAGCATTCCACTTCTGCTGAACTCTCTACCAACACATCTTCACCCCACTTCATAAGGGATTTTTTCAAGTTTCTTTACCAAAGCAGCATTCTGAAAATTTAAATGTAGTCCTGTGACTTGAAATTACTAGCAGCAAAATGAAGCTCATTTCCTTGACCTCAGATCCTCCTCAGGGACTTTCTTTGAATGTATGTGACCCATCTGTTTGGGTCGCTTCATTGTGATGACTCAGGCTGCCAAAAAGTGCCTGCTGACTCGGGCATGGGCATCATGCTGAATCACAGCAAAGAGGAGAGGGGAGGCAATGGCTCAATGGGAATGGCAGGGGATTGGAAGTGGATGGACTTTGAGGTCCCTTCCAACTTGAGCCTTTCTATGATTCTATGATAAAAGGCAGGATTTTGATTGTTCCCATTAAGCTTCCCAGTTAGTACCTACAGAATGGTGCAGCTGTGGCTCCAAATCTGACTGTGATATCCCATCTATCCCATCACTGCAGAGCTTGGGCCAGAATATATTGCAAAATATGTATGCATGTATTTACGTACGTTTACATATTTGTCTTATAGGCAAAATACCTATGTATGCAAAATAAAAGCAACTATTTCTTTTTTATTTTATCTTGCTTCAAAAATGGACTCATTTAGTTGTAGACAAGATTTCTGCTGTTATTTTTGTCACTGAGATGCAGATCATTTCCTGCATAAGAATCCTGCAAAATGACCTGTTCCAATCAATTTTGCCTCTCCTGTCTCTGGTTTTGTACATCACTTCTTCATTGTGGTGCTTGGCTTTATGTAACCACGCTCTTTATTGAATTTTCTTGTCTTTTGAAGAGGTAATATATTCCTATTCAACAAATGAAAAGGTTTATGTCTTCCTCCAGAGATTCATTTCTAACACAGGGCAAGAGGTCACACAGATTCACCATATGGGGGTGGTGGGACCTCTGGGACCTCAGTAGCACCTATAGATTTACAAGGATTCAGTATTCTGGGGACTTTTGCACCAAATAGGGTGGAGGTTTGCTGTTCAGCCTCCTTTTTTTTTTCCCCCCCACCTTTTCAGTAAAACAGACAACATCAATTTTATCAGTGAGCATGGACATTTACAATGGCAAACAGTGCCCTAACCATTACTGCACTGCATCTCCCAGAGAGATCATTCTGCAGAATTTTGCACTGGTGAAAAGGCAACGAGGATTTAAAGACAGAGCGAGGAGTGGAGTGAAAAAACTGAGAGAAGGGGCCAGAAATTCTTTTTGCTTGCAAAAACACAGATAGAGGCTGGTGGTTACTCAGGGCAAGTTACTCAGATGGTGTCAACCATCTCACCGAAGAATGATTGAAACTGAAGGCTCCAGCAGTTCTCCACCAAATCAATAGTCCCGGGGCCTTTGATATTTAAGATGTTTCTTCAAATTGTGTCAGCTCTGATCTCCCGAGTGTGTAGCAAAGATGGCTCCTTTGCAAGCTGCCGGCCTTGGAAAACTGCATGCTTTTCCTCTTCTGTGAAGCATTGAGGAGATTCTTGTGGTGGGTTTGTTTGGAAGGCTGAGCTTCCTGCCTGGCATATCCAGCTCCTTCTGAGATGGGAGACAAAATCTTTGTGGTTTTGTGGCTTCATGTGCAATCATTTTTCATTACATTTGAAGGACAGGGTGTTCCGAGCCCGTTCTCAGCATCTCAACATGAATCTTTTCTTGTGAAGTAAAAAGTCCAGGTAGCTTCTGGGTTTTTTTTTTTCTACTTTTGAAATGAGATTAAGATTAGACGCGTTGTTTGTTTTTTTTTTTTTTTTTTCTTTTATAAACTATCAGGAGCTTAATAGTAAATATTAGGAATAATAGGAATAGTAAAAATGACGTGGAGATCACCAGCTTTACACTGTAAAGCCATCATCACAGTTATCACATTGGGCAGTGGCAGCAGAAACCCCAAACCAAGGGGGAGAATAAGGCGTGTTGAAGAAGGAGAGGTCTGCAGGATTCGTTGTCCATGTGGACAGTGAGCTCAGAGAAATACATAGGAAGGAAGATGATCCAAAATTTAAGCCTCAGATTGAGTAGCTCAGTGGTATGTTTCAGTGCATCAGCACATTTAATGCAAATTAATCCCCCCGTGCTCTCAAACTCTTGTAAATCCTCTGCATTATGAAGCACATCATGAGTAGCAATGGAAAAATTATCCAATTCTCCTGTGGCATAAGGTCAGAGTCTTGCATTAGCTAATTGTGGTTGCATGTTTGTTCTATATTTAAACATTTATGGCAATGATAACATTATAAAACACTGAATACAAACGCTGCCTTTTGCTTCCCTATAGTAATTTCTTTTCCTGTACTTCTTTTGGAGGTATACAAGCATCCCTGAAAAAACAGGATTTTTTTATTATTATTTCTTTTTTTTTTAAGGAAGAAATAGCAGTCAAAACCTATGGTATTAAAATGATACAGCAGAAATGGACAAATTGAGATTTGTTCATCTTACCCTTTATTCTACAATGTTGGAATGCAGCGATCTCAGACACCATTCAGTTGTCATGTTTATTTTTAACACTGACGTCTAATAAAGATTAACATTAGAGAACTGGGGATTTGTGTTCTGAGTAAGTTTAGAAGTGCTAAATATAATTTTATTAACAATGCTTCCTGTTCAGATTGCCTGGGAAGTGTTCAAATTTGCTAGCACAGCTACTTTCTTGGCTCTCGTGTTCACTTATTGTTTGTCTCTGGACAACCTAACTGTGAAAAATACGTGCTAAAAGAAAACAGATCTGATCTGTAACACATGATACAGATTTGCATGGACTCTTGCTTGAAATAATTTTCTTGGCATCTGATTCACTTCATTGTGTGGGTGAATCTGAAGGGAAGTCCAGCAATCCGAACTGCCATCAAAAGCAAAAAGGGTGAGTTTTCCACAACTGACATTTTTGATCATAATAAAAACTGAATTTATTATTTTTATTTTTTTTGCAAGATTTGGTAAATTGCAGTCAGCCTAAGTTGTTCCTTACTTCATTATTGTTTCTTTCTCTGTGTCACCTCACTGATCTCCCCACTTCCATCAAACAGCCTGCTTTGATTTAGATCAATGTCAAATAACTTTGTTCAAACAGTTATACTGAAGTTCACATGCCTTTTATTCAAAATGAAAGAAACTAAGAAAAAGCCTTAACCCCAAACCAAAACCATTTTTATCATCTTCAGTCTGCAGTAAATGCAGAATTTCATTCTGCTTTGACCTGTGGTCAAAACGCATCGTTGTACAGCAGAGCATCATTGTACAGCATCAGCTCAATAAATAACCAGAGAACTCAGTAAATAACCTCAGAGATGAAGGAAAATGTTTTTCTTTATTTTATGTGGATTGTTTAGGCTTTGGTACCCTGTCTCCATGACGATTAAGTGGTGATCACAGACTTCGTGCAAAGATAATGAGTCTCTGCGTGAAATGCAGAATTGTGCCTTTGGAAAAACAAGTTTCACGTGGGACTGAAAATACTTGTGGCTGCAGGGAAAATGAATCGCCACAAATGTGAGGACAGAAACCTCGAGTGGTTTTTAAAATGGATAAATACGTGCATATGTATGTACATACATACTTACTTATTAACACGTATACTTGAGCACACCTATGCCTAGAGCAGTGAATACAGACCTGCCAGTCAGATCTTGCAACAGCAGGCTGCTTTTCTGAACGCAGTAGCAAAGCTGGCAAAAACTGAGATGTCCACAGGTGTTCTGGGAAAGCTGTGAGTCATCAGGAAGTTCATTCCATCTTCTTTCCTGACTCGGTTCAATTCTACAGTCCTAAACCATGTCATACAAACTACATGTCGTGGAGTTGTGCAGCTTTGTTTCTAGCAGGCAGTAACAAGGTCTGTGGTGGTGATGGGAGCTAATGATGAGGCTTGGTAGGCCAGTGATGAGGTTCTCTCTTGTTTGCCAGTGTGCAGAGGCAGGGGCAGCTGGGGGTGAGGGAAAGGCTCTGCAGCAGAGGGCGGTGGGCATGGAATGGGCTGTGCAGGGCAGTGGGCACAGCCTGAGTGCCGGAGCACAGGGAGTGTTTGAGCACTGCTCTCAGACACAGGGAGGTGCTGTGTGGAGCCCAGAATTGAATTTGATAGTTCTTGGAGGTTTCTGCCAACTTGAGATATTCTATGATTCAGCGATGAGGAGACATCCAGAATGGAAAGGGTGACTCAGTTGTAATTCTTTCGGGGATTCCTACCTGTTGCTCAGAGCTGGGAATGACTTGAGGCTCAGAAGTTACCAGGGTAACACTGGTGAACAAGCAAACAGCTTCCCTTCGGCCCCATCTCTGGAATTTGGGCTAAAAATAGGTGGCTGAGGCTTAAGGTTAAAAGTAAAGACGTGACAAAGTGGTGCAGTTATAAAGCCAGCTCTACTCATCCCTTAAAAACATCCAAAGACTGCCTTTCCCAGTCAGAGGCAGTGCATGTGTTACTACTTATAGGAGACTTTACGAAAGCTGTACATTAGCTAGAAACATCTTTTGACTTGAGAGTAATGCCGACAGTTGTGTTTTCCCTTCAACAATGAGTTTTGGAAATAGTCTTTCAACTTAACAGCATGCCCTAGTAGCAACCAGCACTACCTGGGTTGAGTAGCAGTGGTTTAAGAAATCTGGCTTTACAGCCAAGCTCTTGTTCAACTACATGGTGCTTTCCAAGCAGAAATCATGGTTTTAAACTTTTCTGAAGGTAGAGTGGTGGGCCCATGCAGTTAGCTTAGGACCCTGCTTCTAACCAACGTGTTTGCCTACTTTTACCCAAGGTCCAGTTGAAAAGTGAAGAGACGAAGACGTTTGCGATGAAAATCCTGAAGAAACGTCACATAGTGGACACGAGGCAGCAGGAGCACATCCGCTCGGAGAAGCAGATCATGCAGAGCGCTCACTCAGACTTCATCGTGAGGTACTGTCCGTCTGTCCATGCTGGAGCACAGTACAGCCAGCCACAGCAGCTGATCAAACCCCATAGGAGTAACCCATGCACTATTAAAAGGACACTTCAGCCCTAGCTTCCTGCTACTGACTGCAAATGCAGTTCATAGAATAAGGTCCAGGCTCATAGGGAATGGGGAAACTTCTTCCCAAACCTAAACTAAACCTGTGCCATAACTGGTTTGCTTGGGCTCTTGCTGACATGGCTTTGTGGTTTCTGGAGCAAACCCACTTGCAGCACAGAGTATGGGCAAAGTTTGCTGATGGCAGCGTGTGATGCTCCGTGTAGGCATACACACCATGACTCAGGGTTTGCCCTGATCAATAAGCATTTTCCTCTTCATTCTGAATTTTCCATGGCACAGAAAGGAAGCTGGAAAGCAGGATTTAATCTTTGGAGATCCTGCGCTGCCACGTGAATAAATAGCTCTTTAGGGTATACTAGCTCATTAGCTTCAATTCGGGGTCCATTGACTCATCATGAGGAAATGTGCTAAAATCATATGCCTCCTGAAAACTTAAACAAATGCAATTCTTCAGTGAATAAAAACAGCTGCCAGTCATTTTTATTTGTTTTTACCCTAGCAGCAGAGTTTTCTGATGCTTTAAGATTATGACTATCTGTCATCAGGAAGCAGAGACAGTTCCTTATGTTTTAAGTCAGGATCAGAACTCTGGGTGATCAGAACCTCTTACGAAGTAATGCATCTCCCTAAACTGGTGCTATCTAACAGGAAGACATCTTGTGTAATTCAAGGATGCTTTAGGATGCCTGAAGCCCTTGACTTTTGCTGGAGATCAATCCCTCTCCCAAAAAGAGCTCCAGAGAGGCACACTAACTCAGGATGGAAACCAAACCCTGTGAAAGAGTGCAAGGGCAAGTGTGTGGCAGGGCTGGCCACCCATCAGCTGCTAAGGGGGTATTTCCTTCACATGCAGAACTGCTGCAAGCATTGGCCAAAAGCCTGCCTGATCCCTGGGATTCCTCAGAAGCCCAGGCTTCACCTATGTGTGATTCATTGGTGACAACTGCAACGCTGACATCGTACCCAGCTGCAGTTTCCTTCACACTGTAACATTCGATTCACAAACACGCGCCTGTTACCTAGGCTAGAGCCAAATATACCTTGCAGGCTATTTCAGCAAATAGATCTATTTTCTGAAGCTGAGCTGGCTTAGTATGTCGATGTAAAGGGAGGTGAAACGCACGGGCAGCAGACTGGAGGGATATCATGACACCATTTCCAAAATACCCACTCCTAAATAAAAGGCTGAGCCTACGGACATTTGCTGACAGAGCCACTATGTTCATGGCTAATAAGATAAATACACCAGAGTTTCTTCATTCTCACTTTTTTTACTCTTTCAATAGGCAAGTGGAAAAAAAGGATGCAGTAGCCACAGGACTAGGGCAGAGGGCTGAGAAACAGTGATGCAGTGAATGATCCCAATTTTTTTCCCATTCCAAACTAAGCCCAAAAAGGGAAAAGGTTACAAGAAGACAGGGTGAAGGAACATCCTTTTCCTCTGTTTCAAGGCCTGGCAGTTTCAATCAAATCAAAATCCTGCTTTTAGCTTTATGCAGGCTTCCCAACATTCCTCCCAACTTCAGTCAGTCTGAGTTACCTGCTGCTGCTGCGTCCAGTCATTCATTCAGATGTGTCTCTTGTGCCTGTCTGAAGCTATTACATCACTATATATATTGATATGGTATTACACTTTATGTAATTTTATTTGCAGAGACAAGTAAAATGATTGTGAAACACCACTCACAAAGCAGGCGATTCAGATGAAGGCAATATCCCCAAACTCCATCTACTCTTTTCTTTCCACATCGTGCACTAATTCCTGTTCTTTATAGTAATAAGCCTCTCCTAGACACTTTTAATACCCCTTGGAAATCCTGTGCTGGGATGGGACTTTCTAAGCCATAAAGCCCAACTTTTTCTTATTGCATAGGCTAGAAACTGGAACATCTTCACTGACTTATCAAACTCTATGCCTGCTTTTCCCCATTGCTTGCAGCTCCAAGGGGATTTGTTATTATCTCCTAGTTTGTGGCCTAAATTTATCCATAGCTTGTTTATACCCTTTTTCGGGCCAGGCCTGTAGCTGAGCTAATTTTTTTTTCTGGGTACTGAAAAAAATGTTACCATTTTGGTAGACTAATTGTGTTTTGAGATGTTGGGTGAAAGGTGGATTTAAATGATCTTGAAGCAAGGACACAATCTCTGGGATATCAGGAGGAGGAAGACAACGTTGCTGAAATAATATTTTCCTATTTCATCATTAAACTGTTTGTGAAAAGTCTTGGAAAAGTATTTTATTAAAGTGATTTAAATGCATTAAACCAGGCAAGATGGCAGAAGAGGTCGAACAGCCCTCAATAAAACTTACTGATACTGAAACTGAGAGCTTTACAGAACAAAACACAGTGTGTGGATTTGGTGAAGGGGCAAACAAGTGTTGAGCCACAGATGTCTGCAGGAGTTCTACAAATATTTAGGTGAGGAAGAAAATGAATAAAGGATTGAGTTCCAGTATTGTGACATTTCAGACATCAGACTGCTTGATCTGCTGAAATACTGTGGTTTCATACTTCACATTGTACATTCCACATGTAAACTTTGTGCTCCTATTAAAGTAAAAAAAACCAACATTTGATTGGCCAGATTTGATGCCCTTAATGTTTTCTGGAAAGTAATTTTTCAGTAGAGCTGCCTGAGCTGGAGAAAGTAGTGCCTTATTTCAGTAGCCTTTAAACTAACAAACTATCTAAAATATTTAGTTATTCATAATCCATAAATTTTATGGAATGGTCAGCTAGTTTGTTTCAGCATTTCTGGGACAGATACCTGAGGTTTTAGCTTCTAGATGTCAACATGGGTAATCCCATAGTAAAAGAAGCTCTGAAACACAGGTTCAGTTTTCTTCCACGAAATTTTCTGTTGGCCACAAATTTTAGGTACAGAATATTTCACAATTTGATAAGCACTGAGTGCATCCAGTGATTTGCCTTTTTTTTTTCCTGTAACCATTAATGCACATGAAGGCAAGGCAAATTAGGATTGATCCAGGCAGCAGCATCAGACCCTGTCCTAATCAGTACGTACCCAAAGCCTTGCCTACATCACTTTCAATTGTTTTTTTAACCTCTGGACTATCACATAGACCCATAAAAAAGTGTATAACTGTATTTATCACTAACTTAAAGGACCTGATAGATTCCCCTCCCCTGCCAAAGCAAACTCCTTTTCCTCCTTCTTCCCCTGTCCTTCTGCAGGTCTTTGAGATTCTGCTGCTTCTTCTTCAGAGCTCTGGGGGGAGAACTAGTTTGATACTAAAATTTAATAAAGCAGCTGACAATGAATTCCACGTTAAGCTCATTTCCACAGTTTTCTAGTTGTGCTGTTTAAATCATCGCATTAAACACAGAGCTGGGATTTCGCTCTGTGCTCTGGGTGACAGTTGAGAAGGAGGATGGGTTTATGATTGTGTCTTTAGGCAAGTTTTCCTCCACATTGAGTCCATAGGAAGAAGAGAAAGGGCACTTTTAGATACCTAAATGTCAGCAGCTCTGTTTAGTTGATCAGATCAGTGGTTTTAAGGTCTGAAATGAAAAATCAGACAGCACTTCCTTTAAATGGTTGAAGGCAGCAGATCTACAGCTGTAGCTGTAGTGTGAAGAAAAAGATTACACAGACATGACTAAAGTGGTAGGGAAACTTCTCTTTCAAGAGAATCTGGAAAGCCAAGTGTCAGGTTGTGCCATTAGAAATGTCAGACTTTATTTAGTACTCAGAACAATGATGACCTCTCCTTTTGCTGCAACACACTTCATTCAAACTCTCATCCTTCTCTGCTGAACTATTTCCCTCATGATACAAAGGACTGATGAGGATTGAATTGACCTCCCTAAGACAGCAGCAGCTCTGTAAGATCCCCCTCATTCTTGTGCTTCCTGACATGAAGCACGTGGTCTGTGAGAAGTGGGAATGATTGGCGTTTGACTTTTATTGTGAATTTTCTATTATTTTCTTGTTCCCCATAGGCTCTACAGGACATTCAAGGACAGCAAGTACCTGTACATGCTGATGGAAGCCTGTCTAGGTGGAGAGCTCTGGACAATTCTCAGGGACAGGTGAGTTTTAAGCAATTGTTGTCATGACAAGCGGAACATTTTTTAATATGCCTTCAGATAACCAAGAGCCTTTATCCTTCACCTGGGTCTTACCATTCTGGGTTTAATTTACATCCCCCAGAAGGTGAAGAAATGATGTTCTCCTATGCAGTTAACTAGAGTCAAAGGGAACTGTTACTACTGAGAATACACTCAGAAAACTGATTTAGGTTGTCACCAACATGGGAGCTGAGATTGAAGCCATAGCTGTGCACCATGGGGTTGGGACGCAGAAGTGCCATGGAAAAAAATAGCCTGAAAGCATGTAACGAAATACCGTGTCGCAGTGCACAAGCAAACGTGGTGCTGGTATTTCCTGTCCTCAGAGGATTTGACCTTGCAGCGTTTTGGTTTGGATGTGTGTGTGTGGAGGTGGCTGTGCAGTGTGTGTGGTACGTGCACAGGACGGCACCGCGGGCACGAATCACTTACAGCTATGTGGTAGAATTTAATTGGAACCTAGTTGAATTACATTTGAAAAGCAAAGGAAATGCGTTGTAAAGATGGATGAAAAAGCAAATATAAAATTCCTTTTAATTTATTATCCGTAATGAATTTTTATAACTCTTTCCTTTTCTTAACACCATCTCTGGACCATTAAAATGAGCCACTCCGCAAAGTTAGCAAGTGCTGGAATGTATTCTTCATCTTTGTCAGAGCCTGGTAATTCCATCTTGAATTCTCTCAGCTGTAAATTGTGGTTCTGCTGCCACCTAGCTTAGAGCTGCCTTTGAGTTCAGCCACCAGTTCAAGGCAGGCAATGGAATGTGAAAACTCCTTGCAAACTGCACTGAAACCAGCATCTGAATGTGCACCTTATGCTGAATTTATGATTAACACTTACCAACAACTGTGTTTTTTCTGTCTTTTGTCTCAGTCGGGAACATTAGTATGGGAGCTCTTGATTTCCATAGCTCAAAATCCTTTTCTCACCCAAGTGTCAAAGATTATTATCCAGAAATCACCTTTTGCATACAAGATACTTACCTGTAAATTTTATTTTTTACAAAATGTAAAGGAAAACATTTTAGATTCAAATGTTTGATGTATGCTAACTTCAAAAAGAGACATACATACAAATGGATGTGCAAAAGTCAGTGTAGAGGTCACTTTCCACATATTAAGTGATTCTTATGACCTGTGTAGATATTTCAGCAGCAGGATGAGGTCTGCTAAGTGAAGAGGTTGGGCTGCATGGTTTTAGGCTGTTCAGAAAAATAAATTGTAAAGGTGAGTTCAGCTATAGGTAGTATAAAAATAGATTAATTATGGGTAGAGTAGCTCACTCCTTGCAAGAATCAAGCCCTGACTTCACCACAATGGCACTGATAAGGGCATATTGTAACAGCTCAGTCTTGTATGTACAAATCCCTTTATTGTCTTTCCCTTTCTTGTTTTACATAGAGGTTCGTTCGAGGATTCAACAACCAGGTTTTACACGGCGTGTGTAGTTGAAGCTTTTGCCTATTTGCATTCCAAAGGAATCATTTATAGGGACCTCAAGCCAGAAAACCTCATTCTGGATCATCGAGGTTATGCCAAACTGGTGAGTGCCTGCACTGTCTAGTTTTGGAAAAGGAAAAAAAAGGAAAAAAAAAATGACATAATCCCTGACTTTTTTCCAGTGTTACACAACTAGTATTGTGGGAAAGGAACATAGAATTAGCCATGAGGAATCAGAAGCAGAGTCCACCCAGCCCACAGTCCGGTTCCTTATGGTGGCCGCCAGTAGATTTTGAGTTACAGTCAGGCCAGCATGTCGTCACTCATCACTGGAATGTTTTCCCAACCTCCTGCAGACTGAAGCTGTGACTGAGCTGGAGAACACTAATTCTGGCTCTGTAGCCAGAATTCAGCTTGAAACTCAGGGCAGCAATCCTGAAGTGGAAATGCTTAGAGAAGAGAAGCAGAAGAAATCCATCCAGCTATTTTTGAGCTACTGAAAAGCTGAAAAATGTGGGTGGGAGATGGGGAGGACTTGTATTTGTGAGCTTTATAGTGAAAAATATTTTGCAAGCTGTTGTTTCTGGGTGAGTTCCTTTGTGTAAACAAACAAAGAAGTCATTCTTAATGCAGATTTTAACCGTAGCCTTGTCGTGGCAGTAAATGGTCTATCATCAGACTTCTTACTTGAGAAAGGGGGTTGTAATTTGGTTTGTCTTTATTTTTAATAGCATTATAACTTCTGCAAGCTACAGAGAGGGGAGAGGAAAACACAGACTTTCACAGAAGTGTGGTAGGCACTGGAACAGTGCCCAAGGAGGCTGTGGATGCCCCATCCCTGCAGGCATTCAAGGCCAGGCTGGATGTGGCTCTGGGCAGCCTGGTCTGCTGGTTGGTGACCCTGCACATAGCAGGGGGTTGAAACTAGATGGTCCTTTTCAACCCAGGCAATTCTATGACTCTTTGATTCCCTTAGTAAGATGTGCTGCCTCACAGGTTTTTGGGAACCCCTTTTCTAGCTAGGGAAGATCTGAGCCCTTGGGAAGCTATCAGTGAAGGATGCAGCCCTAAGAAAGCTGTATCCCAGAGGAGCTGATGCCTTCCTGAGGGTCTCAGTGGGACAACATCTCTGCCTCTTAGGCTGGAGACTCTTCCCTGTCTTTGGAAACTTGGGACTGGTGCCCCCAGGGAGCAGTAAGTCAGATCATCATCATTGTGGGCCTTTATGGTCCAGCAGCAGCCAGCATTTGTTACTGTGACCCTCAGCTTTATGAATGACAGCAGAGTTTGTCCTCTGCAGCATTCCAATGAGGGTTCTCGTGAGGTGGGTTAGGTACCAGACTGTCCTTTTATCCACCCCATGAGGATCTAGCCCAGGAACTGCTAGTCCCATCACCATCCCTTATCTCCTTAGACATTTTGATCTCCTTGGTTGCATCCATGATAAGCAGGGAAGTCTCTCAGATCCCGCAGCATGACTGATCCTGCTTCTTGTGGGATTGTCACTGTTTAGGATGGCAATTTAGGATGCAGGTGCAGGAAGATGTAGGAGCATTTCAGCCATCAAGGGGCAGCAGAGTGTGCTACAGACCACAGCTCTGGGCAAGAACAGTACGAGGGCAGGGGAGGGCAGAGCTATAAATACACTAAGCCTATTAACCTGAGTTCAGCTAAGGCCCCAAAGGATGGCTTTGGTTCCCTATGTAATCTCATTTTCCTTGATTGCCTGTAGCATGCTATGCTGTGCTGTAGGCTGTAAGCTGAGCCCACCAGTGCACTGCAGTGTTTTCAGATGAGTTGATTTTACCACTCTTTGATGAGAAGAGAAACCTGAACTTTTCACAGGATATTTCAGAAAGTATTTAGCCCAAACAGTTCTTTGCCCAGGGACTTTCAAAAAAAAGTCAACCCAAGCTTATATGAAGTTACATCTCCAAGAAGTGTTCAGCGTTGTCATTTGTTCTCCTCCCCTCACGAGGATCTTCTCTTGGCATAATGAAGGGTAAATCAGCAAAAAGGTCACTGCAGTTGTCTGGTTCTTGAACAGCCCGCAGTGTTTTGGTTGCAATAATACTCCCACAAGGAAATCTTCTTTCTGCTTTGCTTCACTTCAAGAGAAGCCGAGCACATGGCTGAAATTCCTCCTCTTGCTCAGCTCTGATGCTATTCTCCTCCATTTGCAGGTTGATTTTGGCTTCGCAAAGAAAATAGGATTTGGAAAGAAAACATGGACTTTTTGTGGAACTCCAGAGTACGTAGCCCCCGAGATCATCCTGAACAAAGGTCACGATATTTCAGCAGACTACTGGTCACTGGGAATCCTAATGTATGAACTCCTGACTGGCAGGTATGGGCATCAGAGCTGGCGTAGCTGCTGAAAAAGGATCCAAATATTTCTGCCATTGTCACCCTGATTAGATGACAGGGAAGATTCGGAGCAGGCGTGTGCTTGAATGGCACAGTGAAACTTCAGTGCTGTGCTGCTGAACCTGATGATGAATTTTGCTTTTTAAGTCAGTCTCCATGCAGATCTCTTGAAAGGCAACACATGAGCAGGCTTTTTAGGAAATGTGTGTGAAATGACACTCTATTCGACTCTAATTTTTGTTACTGAGCTCCTGTAAACTGAAAATGAGCTGAACATGATGGGGAAAAGGTTTATAATTCAACTATAGAAATAAGGAGCATGTAGCAGCCCAAAGCAAGCAGATTGTAGCATTCAATTTTGGGGGCACTTTATCTAATTACTGTTCTTCTTCACTGAACTTGTCCCTTTTCTGTTAAACCACTGGAAACCTAATTAATCCCCACTGAAAGCATGTCACAACATGAAATAGAATATAAGGCAGCAAGCACATCTTGGCTCCTTGTTCCTTAGGTTACTGGGACATGGGCTGTCTTGGAAACAAGACATTATGCATATATTGCTCAAGAAAACATGACTGTACTCTTTGGTACTTCCTTCCAGCCAGCATCACTTAAATCCAGAATATAGCAGAGCCTCTTGGATGTGAAACTGTCATAGTCCATTGCTAGCTGACATCTAACTTTCCTCAGTTCACAATTCCACAGTAGGATACTGTGTTTTGCTTGGTGTTTGTTTTTTGATTGTTTGTTTACTTCTTTAATCAAGCTTCAGTGCTGTTCTGAAGACAAATTTTTAACCTTTTTTTTTTTTTTCTTTTCCCTCTGAAGTCCCCCTTTCTCAGGCCCAGACCCTATGAAGACCTATAACATAATATTAAGGGGAATTGATATGATTGAATTTCCAAAGAAGATTGCCAAAAATGCTGCTAATTTAATTAAAAAACTATGCAGGTAAATGCATGAAATATAATCCCTTCTCTCTTATTTGTAAAGAAATGCATCGTTGGAAGGATTAAGAAAGTAACCCAACTTGTTATTGATTTTATAGGGACAATCCATCAGAAAGATTAGGGAACTTGAAAAATGGAGTGAAAGATATCCAAAAGCACAAGTAAGTGACTTCCCAGCCACCCAACATTTTAACCCCCACAGACACACATTTCAAACACTTCCATTTTCAGCCAAGCCTACATTTCTTCAGGTCCTTTGACCTTCCCCTCCTATTGTGCTTTAAAGTCTAACTGAATTTGTGTTGGATGTTTTTTTCCCCTGTGTTTTGGTACAGATTCCAGCCTTGCCTATGACCAAAATGCATTGTGCATTGACCATTATACTTGAATTACTTGAATGCAGAAACACGTTTGGAAACAATCCAACTCTGCCTGCTTGGGTTTCTTTGCTTTGCTGAATAATTTCCCAAAGTTTCCCTCCTCCCACAGCAAACTTAATTTCCACCCGTAACATTAATTTATCAAAGCTTTTGGTCTGACAGGAGAGAGTTCTTAAGTTAAATTTTATAAGCTTTATTTTGCCACAGAGTTTTCACACTATTTGAGAGGAAAAGCCAAGTTAGGGACCACCACAGAGGTGGGTTACCTCAACCATCTGTGCTCATCCTTCTCTCCTCCCATCCCCAAAGCAACAGAAGTGCATTGGATGGACATTTTGGGGTAGACTTGACTCACAACTCAGCTCAGAGCTCACCATTCAAACTGCATTAACCCATTAGCTCATCAGACATTAGTGTCTGACTGTATGGGAGGGATTGAGCATATAGGAAGGAAAGAGCAGCTGCCAGACACCTGCAGTGAGGAACAGTTTTTTTCTGAGCACTGATAATTTGTACTTGCCCTGGTGTCCCCACTGAATTGCAACACAATCCATTTTCAGCCAAGAAACATGATTGCAAAAATGATGAAGGCTAATTAGGCACTTTGAAGAACATGGCTGCAGGAGTTAAAAGCTACTGTTTAAGCAATTTAAATTTCACCATCTGATATTTTAGCCACGTGTCTAACTTCCCGACCTGCTTTATTCTTCTCTCCCTTCCAGATGGTTTGAAGGCTTTAACTGGGAAGGGTTACGAAAAGGGACACTGACACCTCCTATAATACCAAGTGTAAGTTTTCCTGCTTTTTTCTTGTTCCCAGCCAATGTGTCTCTGTAACATGAATTTTGTGAGCTTTGGACACTAGTATACTATAGTGAAGTGGCGACAGCACATGGTTTATTTCATGTGAGCCTGCTTGTCAGAGAATAAAATAAAGCAAAACCTGGTTTAAGAAGTCAATTCAGATACACTTCCACTTATACTTTGTCTCCTGGCAGTTTCTTCCAGCAGACGGCTTTTTAGGGGCATGACTGTGATGAAATCCTCTTTGCTGCCTGGGCAGAATCACTCACTACTACATGGTTTTCTCTTTTTCACCTGCTGCACATGTTTCTTCATCCACTTTGCACATTTCAGCAGGGAGCTGCTACTTTCACCCCTTTTCTCAGATGTGTCCTCTTTTTTTTCTCCTTTACTCTTTTTTTTTTTTGATGGGCAAATGGGATTTGTACGCCATCTCCCTTTCTTTTGCATTAACCTCTCCTTCTTTTCTTTTGTGCTTGTTACCCTCTTCTCCTGCGTCCATGTCCTACATGAAAAGCCCTGTTACTGACTGGTTTATGTTTAACTGGGAGCAGACTCAGAGGTACAGCTCTACTCGTTTTCCTTTGCAGCAGAGCTCTTCCTTTGATGTCTTTGTGAGCTCTTTACCCACAAAGCCCGCTGCAAAGGGAAACCAAACAGGATTAGCTGATAGAAATTACCTTGGCCCCTTCTGTTTGGCAGCCTCTCCTCCTTGTTTCGACTTAATCCCTTTCTCTCCATGCCTCTCCCAATGGATCAACGAGAGAATGACATTAGCAATCGTGTTTAATTGCACGCCTTTGCTCAGTCTGCCCGTGGTCCTGTACCTTCTGCAGCAGCAGCAGGAATGGCTCCAGAGCTGAATCTGCCATCCCAAAGTTCTCCTAATGTCTAGGAAAGAGCAAGGGGGTTTTGTGTCCCCCCTCTTCCCTATGGGCTACCAAAGTCACTGGCAGTCAGCAGAAGAAATGCCTAAGGCAGAATCCCCAAACAGCCCGTATATGTTTTATAAATCAAAACTTCATTTTTTTCCTGTTAAGCTGATTTGTAACGACTGTTAATTTTCCAATAACTTGCTTGCCACATTTCAAGTCAGACAATGAAATCAAGTTTATTTCTTGATATCTAATTTCAGTTCCTGATTTACCCGTGCATTGTGCAGGATGCTAGCGTAGATGAAAATGCCCAGAGAAGTTTTTATAATTGTTTTAGCAGATTTTCAACTTAGCAAGAGCATTTTCAATGCTGCTTTTACCCAGTGCATGTATCAACCCTGCATGTCTACCGCTCCAACCGAACAACCAGCAGTGGTGACTTCAATGGTACCTGGTGTCCACAAGCATACATGGCTCCATGTCACAGCTCCACCACCAGAAGTGGTCTCTGCCCCTTTGGCACTGCCTAGAGGAAGGCCATTCTCTGGTGCTTTTTGCAGGAAGTTACACTTCAGCTAGAAACAACATGATCTCAGGAAAGGATTGTGTGAGCGCCAGCACGCTTTGTTAGGATTATTTCTTGGCATCCTCTCCAGAATGTACTTCCATTACCTAGTGAACCTCACTGACATTTTTCCAGCCCTGAAGCTGTCAGTCCCACGCAGCCTGGTTCTCCACAGCCAGCTCAGCTGCTTTGGCACAAATCCCAACTCTCATTTGGGGCCATATCTGCAAAGCCACCCAAAACATGAATCTCTGGGAGAAGAAATCAGATTTTCCTTCCATCAGTGCACCTTCCCTCCTTAGCTGGAAAGGAGTCAGGACAGCTAAACATGGAGACTAGCTTTTTTTGTTGTTATTATTTATTTATTTCAGAAATAGGCCTCTCACAGCTCTTTAACTCTTTAGTACTACCAGTGAAGCAATCAAAAGCTACTCCTTAGCCCTCGCTCTGTGGGGTTTTAGGATCAAACTCAGTTTACAGCCTGCTGCTGGGATGTTGCTTCAGGGAGCAGCTGACCCTCGATGCCACAGGTTCAGTCCATCATGACTCTTCCAAAGATGTGCTGTCTTGTATCACAGCTCTTATTTTTGAGAAAGAGGCACAGATCTCTGTGCCATAATTCTTCACAAGATGTTGGTAAGAGACCAGACAGGTGGTACCAACACTTGTGCTTTATCCTCTTGGATGGAGATGCTTCTCCCAGAGATAGAACTGGCATAGGGATGTGCTGAAGGAAGCAGAGACACATGGGTCAGCACAAGGGACCATGGAGGAAAGCAAAACTCAGAACTCACCAAGGATAAGAACCGTATGGGTAAGGGTTCTCCAACTCAATGGTGCTGTTACCAACAAAGTAAGCAGACTTGGATAACTAAAAAAAAAGAAAATGAGCATATCCATAATACAGTTGTATTGCTTTTTGTTTGTTTTCACAGTGAGTTGAATATGCAAGGAGCTGCTAAATGCAGCTGAGCAAGTGAATTATCCAGTATCAGATACATCTCATGGACTGTAGGTTGGCTAAAAAATAAAAAATAAGGTGTTTCCTGCTATGTCGAGTGCAGTCCTCTTCAGGCTGCACTATCTGCTCAAGGTGCTGCTTCAGTATGACATTGATTATTTTGACCTTGCTGGTCTATTTTTTTGTTTTAATTTTTTCCAATTGTTTTGAATATATAATGGTCTCATTGTAAGAAAGTTTAAGTTATTACCATGAAGAGAAAAAAAAACAAAACCAAAACAAAAACAACAACAACAAAAGACCAACAACCAGACACAATCTAGTTACAATCTAGATTTTAAATAACATTATTTAAAAAAAAAAAGAAATGTACGTGGCCTTCATAAACCTATTTAGAGGTTGAAACTCAGTCTGGATAATTGGAAATTCAGAAATGCTCTAGGAATATCAGTATCTCAAATAGGCTCCATGGGCTGAAGAATACTCAAAGGCACCAGAGGCCCAGCTCACATCCTCAAATTCAGGATCCTGGAGGCATAAATTGGGAATTCTGGGCTTTGGGGAAGAAGGGTGTGCCTGGCATGCCAAGTCTTTTCTGGCAACCTTATCCCAATTGGTAGAAAAGTTCTTGAGGCCTCTCGAGGCCCTAGGTCATTCACATCAATAGGAACTACTGGCCTGTTGCAGCTAGCATTTTCTGGTCCCTAGCTGTATTTCTGGGAGCAGAGCAAATAAAAAGAGTAAAAAATCCCCACTGAATACTTTTGAATGATTGCTGCTGTGAGATGAAGAGATCTGTAGAGGTTCCCAAAGACAGCTCTGATGACGGTCCCCATCTCTTCCACTCTGTCCTTTCCACAGGTTGCATCTCCAACAGACACAAGCAATTTCGACAGCTTCCCTGAGGACAATGATGAACCACCTCCTGATGACAACTCAGGATGGGACATAGATTTTTAATGTATTTCTCTTACCTGCTTCTGCCTTGCTGAAGACAGCTTTCTGGGACATGGCTGCCAGCGAAACCGAAAGAACCTGGGAGGATTCGTGCTCGGGGTCACCATGATGCCTTGATTGATGCTGCTACAGTAACTACAGTGGCATTAGGACTTATTGCTTAGATGACAATAGTGCTCTTCATGTTTTATGTTCAGACTTAATCTAGCAGTTGACATGGTGGTCCTGACGCAAAGCCTTTCACCAGTAGAGAAATATGTTTTTTATCACTGCAACGATCTTGCTACGCTCTAATTACAAATGTTGAAAGATTCATAGCGTAAGACACAATTAATTCTAGCTGCGAGGTACTGGCTTTATCAGTAGGATCAGTAGTAATTTATTAAGTGCTGTAGCTAAATACAGTACAGGATTTGGGCTTCTCCCACACTCAGCTCGGTAGGTCTTCCACTGTTGGCCAGTCCAGGAACAAAGGAGGACCACAACAGTACTGGTCAAAGAGTTCACGTCAAAGCAGTGGTACAGTTTGTCCTTTTTCTTTCCAAGCAGTATTTCACGACGAGACTGAATGTTACTCTTCGTCTTTCTTTCTGAGATTTTTTTTTTTTAACCTGGTGAAACAAAAGCACAACTGCTCTAGATCCTGTTAAGGCAGATATGGGTCGCTTCTCTCATACGGCCGAGGACGTAACGTAACATGACGTTTGTGTTTTTTTCCTTTCCTTTGGTAGAAATATGTAAGTGCATGAAAAAAAAAATCATAAAATTCTCAGTTTCACATATAAAATAGTGCTTAAATTATGGTCCTATAGTAAAGCGACAGCAGCCAACCGGTCTTATCAGTGAGCTATTAGGCATAAAACTAAGCTTAACTTGTAACTTTCCAGAACCCAAAGGAGAAATGTAAGGTCCATAATGCATTTTATAGGTGCTATGTACGTCCCTCATCTGATTAAGTCAGCCACCCTTTCAGAAATATGTAGCAAGAGGCATCGTTCTCCATCATTCCCTTAGAACAGATGAGTTTACATCTCCATGTCTGCATCTCTTCCATGTTAATTACAAAGCCAATGAAGACAACAGAATATGTGATGGAGGGCCAGTTTGCTTGCTCTGTTTTTAAATTGCCCTTAAAAATGTAATCCTAATGCCTCAATGAGCTAAATCAGAAGGAGTTTCGCAGGAAAGTCGGTTGAATGACATGGAAACCTGATATTTCGTGTGTTTGTGTGAGATTTACTGGCCTGCCTTTTGTCCAGCACACCACGTCCCCAGCGACCGTGTTTAAGGCCTGGGGATGGCCAAAGCTGAGTCAACTCGTACAAAAAAAGAGAGGAGGAAAGGATGGTGGTGTGTAGACGTCTTCCCCTGGCTTCCACTACTTTTCCTTTGCTTTAGTGACGCCTCTTCTCATTTATACATGCGTAACAAGGGAATCCTGTCCTATATACCTACTTGTGTAATACTTGGGACGTGAAGCGTATCCCTTTGCACCAACAAGAAACATCAGATTTCCATCTCTCTAACGGACCTCTCAATTAGCAAACGCTGCCCCATTTGATCTCAAGAGCTGTTACATACACTGGCAATCAAAAGATCAACTTTTGCTAACCAACGCTCAGAAAAAATTATTTCTCCAATGCTGAATCTTTTCCATGTTCCTATTGAAAGCGACCCACTTAATAGAGCATGTTAAAAAGATGTTTCCTCCGCTTCTTTTAGAGCACCTGCCGTGTCTGCTGCCTGCCAGCAGCCTACAGAGCTCCTTGTCATGGGCCCCTTCAGACCCACTCCGTTGGCTGAATTTTCTCCATAGTTGTGCAGAAGGGAAGAGCAACGACATCCGCTCTTGGACACCAGGTTGTTCCTGTGCTCGCTCATCTCGCGCAGCAGCACGTTAAGATTTGTTTGCCTTGAAAACTGTAGGGTAAAGAGTGTCACTGCATCTACCAGGTATCTCTTGTATAGGACTAGCTCTTGCTTTTCCACAGAAAGGTTGAAAACACTGAAAGCAAACGCTGAACACTAGGGCTAAAATATTCACCCATTATCCAAGCAGATGGGCAACGGCCGCGCTACGGCTGAGTTGTTAATCCACCTCCTTCCAGATTTTCACTCAAAGCTGTGGGCGCCACGGAGGAGAAAAGTTGGATTATCTGTTGGCTTTCTGCAGAACAGACAGGGTAGGCTGCCTCAGTGCGTAGCTGAGCAGCAGAAGTTCAGTTGCCTTTGAGCAAAGGGTGGCCAAGAGTGCCGCAGCTCTCGGTGCAACTCAAATCCTTACGGGAAGAAAGGTTTCAAGGGGCTGATGCATTGTTTTCTTCCTTCCTGCCCGCTTTCCTTGTGCCACACACGAGACCTGCATCGTGTGGCATGCACTGTACTGAATATAGGTTTATTTTGGTATCAGACACCTCACTCAACTTCTTCCATCACCTCTACTCGGCACCCTTTAAACAACAAACTTAGCGTATGTATATTATAGACGCCTTCATTTATAAGTAATATATTTGAGTTGCATAATATATATATATATATATATTCACAACTGATTGCCTCTGTGTTCCCACTTACTGTCCTTTCTTCTTTGTCTCCTTTTTTGATATATGGGACGGCGGTGTATTTACGTAAGGGGATATCAGCTCCCGTATTTAAAGCAAGTGTATTACGGTCGGTGTCATAAGAGACAGATGATCTGTAGCTTCTTACAGTGCTGCATTATTCATTAGCAAACTCTTATTTAACAACAGGACCACGAGCAAATATTTCTGTAAATAGGTATTTTTCGTGTTGATATTTTGTGGTACTCATATAACTTTTTATTTAGAGTTCCATGGCATTACTTCTTCATTTTCTTATTTGTAATGTAATGTTTTTAGATCCAAGTAGACTTGAATTAATGTCATAATTGTCAGTATTATTAAACTTTATGTCGACTGTACTGTTACTCATCGTCTCATAGGTTTAGAACACGATAGCTATCTGGCATTGTTGCAAGTGCCTTAAATCCATGGCATCCTATAACAAAATACAAATTTGGTGTTATGCTGCATGACAAAGACAAACACACCTCAAAATGTTGTCCTTTCTTAGCTTGCTGCGTTTTACAGTTCTTTCTGCTGACAATTTATAAGCCTTTATTATATAATATTGATGAATTACAGAAATGATGAAGTCGTTCTCTTATTTCTGTTAAATGTACCAGAGCTGTGTATCCGTTAATGAGATACAGAGTCATTTCTGTGAAATGTATAAATGTATGTGCGGGTCAAATTAATATATGACATCCTATCAGTCTGTACACAGGTATTCCTGTTCCGCTATGCCGTGCAGCTCCAGCCCATCGTGCAGTCCAGCTCCCATCATCTTTTATAAACCCACAGTCAATATCCCGCCCAGAAAAAAAAAAAAAGATGAGCACCTGAATGCGACTTGCCACCGAGTCTCTGTCATGAAACCAAATGCCCCCACAAAAGCAAATGCCCCCCTGGGGGACGCAGCACCACGGAGCTGCCCAGAGCCTCCTCACTTCTCCCACCGGCCCAGCAGGTGCTGTGCTGAGACATGGGCAGCTCCAGGCATCAGCAGCCAAAGGGAAATGTCATTCGGAGTTGTCTCGTCCTGAGTCCAATCCATGCTGTTCTGACACTGGTCCTTTATTTTTGTCTTCTTATTTCTCTGGTTTTCGTATTACGATGGATTCTACATAAAAGAGTTTTTTTGTTTGTCAGAAAAAAAAAAAAAAAACGTCTGTCATTCAACGGTCGTCGACCAGTTGCACTCTTTTGATGTAGATTTAAGAACTTTTTTCATGAACTTAACCGCTTTTGTTTCGCTCTGTATTTTCCCTGCAGCTGTAATTGCTGAGTGCCTGTTGTATACTTTATAGAGTTGAAATAAAAATAATTACTTTTGAGCAGCGCGTTGACATCTGTCTTCAGCAGGAGCCAGCTTGGGGGTGGTTGTGCTGTTCAGTTGGGTTATTTTGCCCTGCTTTGTGGCGATCTGCAGTAGGAGATAGTTAACCAAGCAAAGTGTTGTGTGACACTGCAGAGAGCTGTGGTTGCTGTGATCAATAGGCAGTGGCCATGGGCACCCCAGTGGGCAGGTGGGGTCCTGCACTGCACGTCATGGGCATCTCCAGCCCACATTACTCCATCATCACGCTGAGCAATAAGCATCTTTACAGCACGTTTGCTCTTCAGGGGTGAATATTACACCCGGTGCTTTATGTGCTGCCATTAGGATCAGGAGCAGGGCATGCAGGGCACAGAGACCCGATGCCAGTTGTGATCAACACCTACCCCAGAGTGGCTCACAAGTGAGGCTGTCTCTGTCCCTGCTGTCACGTATGGTCCCCTCCTTCTGAGCGGAATGAACTGGGATCGCACGGCGTAAGTGTGGCAATGGGGTGCAATGGCTGCTAGCAGCTGCAGCGGACACCAGGTTTTGGCCCGGTGGGACGTGATGGTGATGGGCCTGATTCCCCCGGGGCCTGCTCAGGCAGCACCACCACGAGCCCAGCATCGCTAGCAATTTGAGCTGGGGCTGCGTTTTCTCCCAGAACATTCCATTTAAAAAATAAACGAAAATACAAAGAAACGAGGAGCACGACGCTACGGCCGCGCGTGGCCAACGGAGCTCCCCTCGCCGCCGTTCCCCGTCGTGGCCGCCAGGGGGCGCAATAACGCAGCCGCGCCGTCGGGGGGCCCCGAGGGCGAGGGGCGGGGGGAGCCGCGCCCCTTTGATCTCCGCGCATCAAAGGCAGAGCCTGGCCCGGCCCCGCTCCCCCCGCCGCGGCGCGGCCCCCCCGGCCGAGGTCAGCCGAGTGCACGGGGGGGCTCCGACGGGGCGGGCTCTCTTCCAGCCCCCCCAAACTCCGCGGGGCCGGGGGTGCGGAGCGGCCCCTTCCTGCGGGTCTGCGCTGGCGCCAGGAAGGGAGCGCGGCGGAGCTGCCGCCGCCGTTGCGAAATCCCCTCCCTCGGGGGGGGGGAACAGTGGCACAGCCCCCCGGGGCCCTTTGAAATCCCATCCCTCCTCCCCGAAGGGCGGGCGCAGGAGGCAGCCCCCCGGGTATAAGAAAGCGGCGGCGGGCAGGTAGCGCTGCTCGGGGGCACGGAGCGCAGCTCCGAAGTACGGACGGGACGGGGCGGACGGGTCGGGACGGACGGGCGATGCGGGCTCTGCTGGCGCTGCTGGCGGCCCTGAGCTGCGCGGGGCGGGCGGGGGCCGGCGGCGGCCTCAGCTCCAACGCCATCAAGGTGGGGGCGGCCGCCAGCGCCGCCCCCGCCGCCGCCGCCCCCGCGCCTTTCGACGGCAGCAACAAGGCGCCTCCGGCCGCCACCCGGCAGGTAGGAGCGGGGAGGCACGGGGGCTGCCGGGGGTTACCGGGCGGTGGGAAGCGGCGCTGACCCTCTGCCCGCCCGCAGCCCTTCCCCTGCTCCGAGGACGAGGACTGCGGCCCCGACGAATTCTGCGGAGGGGCGGCCCGCGGCGGCGGCCCCCCGCTCTGCCTCGCGTGCCGGAGACGCCGCAAGCGCTGCCTACGCGACGCCATGTGCTGCCCGGGCACGGCCTGCAGCAACGGTGAGGGGAGGCCGGGCCGGGGGACGCGCACGGGGCGGGGAGGTGGGGGGACACGCGGGGCTGACGGCGCTGCCTCCCCCTCCCCACCCCGCAGGGCTCTGCACGCCCCCCGAACCCCCTCCCGGCGTTCCCGAGCTGGACGAACCCGGTCCCGAGGCGCTGCCCCGACGGA